CTACAATGAGGCTATTTTTTCGCTATTGATCACATAATCGTTGTTTTTCCTAAAACTAGTGATGACTATATTTTAGCCTCATAGCTGCATCTGTGCATACATAATCAGAACTGAGAAATGAATTGGCACATATCGTCAACTATAATTTGTTCGAAGTTATAAACTAATGGCAAAGTAGAAGAAATGAAGATTCAACAGAATTAGAAGGTACTACAAAAGAATATATTGTATATTGTACACGTTAAAATGATATCTCCAAAAGCGTAAGCCGTCCAGTATGTCTGCATGCGCCAAGGCAACCCCTCCAGCCTATTGAAAGGGATTGTATTGCTGTCCTCAAGTGGAAATTTCTCAATCACAAGAACAAAAAAAATTTGGATAAAGTACTGAAACTAGATCATATGTACCATGAGTAGAGTAGTACAAAGTACATCAATGTAGACAAGCAGCTAGGTTTAAGCTTAGCTAGACCAGAAAGCCACCAAGAAATTAGTCTATGTCCTAACAAGAAAAGCAAACAAAGATTCAAGAATCACAATTGTACCTCTATACACGGAGGAATGCTCAAGGCACCATGTGAGAAGTTCTTCACCACAAACATCCCCTTCAGACAAAGGAACTGTAATTCCATCTTCTCCAATGCTCTCCATCTTCCCCCGGACTATAAAGACCATCTTATCAACTAGACCACCAAGGTATAATATTTTGCTTCCTTTGATATATGTTTTTTGCCTCAGCCTTTCACATATGGCATCTAAGATGGGTTCATCCATCAGGGAAAAAATTCGGACCTGCAAATTAATATATTACCTACGTTCTTAGTTGAAATAGACATTTGGAGAAATGAAAAATATAAAATTTTGAAAAAATTTTCTTTAGAGTGCACTTGGAAGTGCCATTAAGTTCATATCAATCAGTTATAATTTACGCAGCATTTACAGGTGCAAGTGAACTAAGGACATAATCTCGTTAGAGACAATCATAGCTATGTAGTGCAATGCAATTTATCATGCAAGGTATAAAAGCCCACTCAGGTGTTGCAAAGTTAGAGTTAAACTGTAGAATTAACCTAGAGATCCTAGACTCTGCTCCTAATCTGGACTGGACTGAGGCAGCATCATGTATCGAACGAATCAATCATATCACCAACAACTATGAAGATCACCCACAATAGCCATCCAAAACTGAAATTAACTATGAGATGGTTGAGCTCACTTTCTTGACAAACTTGAAGAGGTGCCGTCGTATATCTCTTTGAAGGTCTTCAGGCAAATTCTCCAACAACATTTCTTCATTTACCCCTCTGGTGGCAGCCCAATTATAGCGTTCTGATTGTCGAACTAGCCTACATGACGTAGAAAGTAGAAGTCAGTTTCCTAATCAACAGCTCATTTTCTGTACAATCTACATTCAATGACCACAACTATACCAAGAGACACATTTTTTTAAAAAAATTGTCTCCATCAGCCATTCCATCTAAGCAAAAATACAATACTCGGACACTAAAAAACTAAAGAAATGCTTTGAAGTCGAAGGAGTGAACAGTAGAAATTTCTTGGAAGCTGACTAAACAAGCACCTATTTCGAGCCAAACCAGAGTGGATCAAACCAATTTTGGGGTTCTCAAGCTTGCAAGATTTAAATGCTCAAGACAAATTGCTTTATCCACGAACATTAAGGATCAAGGCTGCAGAAAAAAACTATATCCAAAGACAGAAATATAATTTATATGGAAGACGAAGCATTACGGTGTCCTTAGCTGAAAACAATACTAACTCAAAACTTCTACTTCAACAATTAAGCAAAACACCCTTGACACTGCAGGAGGTAAGGTCCAGAATACACAAATTCCGGGGAAAAATACTTCATCTTCATACCAGCCCCTCCCAACTATATCAAATAGGAACGAATAGTTGAATATACAATCTAGTGATACAGGCAAGGGAAAAGGAAAAAAGCCTATGCTCTTATAGAAATTACACAATTATCAAGTTATAGCACAAAGAAAATCCCAAGTTATAGGGAATTCAAGTAAGATCTTAATGAAAAATTGGAAACCAACACAAGACAACAAGAAACAAAAATAGAAGAAAAAAAAAAAAGAGAGAAGGTGGTACCTTCTTAGTTCTTCTGGCAAGCGCCGATGGCTCATCCACTGTTCAACATCACGACGTCTTAATGACATTTCTAACCTCCTGAAAAAGATAATAATTTACGTCAATATCAAATAATTTCCTTCTAAGAAAGCAAAAGAACTAACCCAACAGAAGTTAGGACTGCATTACTACATTTAAAAGATGATGAAAAGTGGATTAAAACTTTAGGAGCGGTTGTCACTGTTAGACTATTAATAATAAGGGTAGTTTAGGCATTTTATTTATGTTGTGTTGCCCTACTATATAAGGCTTACTTTGTGTACTTTAAGGTTAATTTAGTATTTGTTTTTAACTTAATAATATTGTCTCTCTATTTCTTCTTTCTTCTCTCTTCAACAAATACTAACATAGTATCAGAGCAGGTTTAGACCCAAAATACATCAAATATCACGGTGTTCCATCGGAGAAACACAACAGGCACAACTGTTCAGGTATTAGGGCTGACGTCATGTAACACCCCGCATTTTCTTTTATATATGTATATAGATATATAGTAAATAATTGTGATAAAAAAAATGTGGATATATGTAGTGATGTGTGTTTGAATTTGGTAGATTGGAAAAGTAGAGATTTAAAATGTTAGTGAAAATAATAGTTGAAATTTGATTTTAATAAGTGAAAATATGAAATTTTAGGTCTTAGAACTTGTATTAAATGGGTTTGGTGTAGAAATATGTGTTGGAGAGATTTGGGATAGATTTAGTTGGCTTAGGAATGGATTGGAAATGGAAAAGGGACGAAGACAGGTTATGAACAGTGCACTGCTGCAACTTCAAGCTCGATTTAGACCTTGATGCAGTCAATATCTCTCAAAACTCAAAACATGCAAGTTTTAGAGCTCTTTCGTATCATTCCATAGCATCTTGAAACATCTCAATCGGAGTTTGGATGAGAGAGTTATTCTCAGATAACGAAATGATGTCGAAATAGTCCAATTAGCTTCGTTTTGCATTTAATGTCTCCATTTGCATCCTAAATCAAAATATAAAAATAATGAGTACTTTTAGGCTTCAAATAAGTATAAAAGGTTTTAAGAAACACCCTTTATCACCTTTTATTTGAAAACATCGCAAAACTTCATTAATAGCCGATTCGGATAGGTAAAATAGAAACTTTAGTGTTTCGGGTGTACGTTGACTTGGGTGTTGAGATAAATCACAAAAATAAATATTTTTAGGTTAAAATAACATTAAAAATGAATCCGGAACGTCGAAAAACCTTAGGGCAGTCATATGAATCAAATTGGAAATTCTTAGTGGCAAAACCGTAAATTTGGAGAAACCCAAAACAACCTGTGAACAGTATTTTTTGGGGCTACTATGTTTTAAACTCATTTTCATCTCATTTGCTCTCATTTCCTTCACTCCCCTCACACCCCCACACCTTTTGAAACCCTAGAGTGCATTAGAGAAGAAGAAAGGAAGGGAAAAACAAGAAATTCAAGGGTGATTCAAGATCAAATATTCTTGTTCTTCACTCCAAAGCTAAGGATTCAAGGTTGGGGTTTTTTCTCATTCACTTACATTGAGGCTAGGGTATTTATATATGTATGTTTTGGCTATCAATGATATATATATGCTATGGAATCATCCTCTCTTAGACTTTTTGCAAAGATTACATGTTTTGAACAAAGTAGGGTTTAATACCCATGAAATCTCCTTTCTAGTTTTAAAACCCTAATTTTTGGAGAGTGATGTATTTCCTTCTTAAATGTTTTCTTTATTATGGATTTCAAAACCTTAGTGCTTTGTGCTGGGTAGAAAAATGATGTTATTGTGATCTCATGTATTTTCTTAGTTAGTTGTGGAATTGTTATATGATATATTTTGAGAATTTTGGATAGATGCTTGTAAATTGAGATAAATGTTAAAATTTTATGCTTGGTTGGGTTGTTTATGATGCACATGAGTGAGAGGTTCCTTGTAAGGATGCTCACCCCTTCCCAAGAGGTTCCCGGTAAGGATGCTTGGGAAATAATGTAGTTGATTGGTGAGAAGTTTCATGTAAGGATGCTCATCCATTTTCAAGAGGTTCCCGGTAAGGACATTTGAAGAATCAAAGGTGACCTAAAAGGGGGGTGGAGGTTACCACAAAGTATGCCACCTACCAAAAGAATTGTTGAAATTGGTTATGGCAATTAATTGTTATTATTTGTATGTGGTGCTCATTTATTCATTTAAGTAATGTTTTTAAATAAACTTGAGATCCTTTTTAAATGTCACTGCTTTATTTCAAATTATGTGTCTATGTTATGTTAAAATTGAGATCGACCGTTTTAAATGTTTTTCTAAACCTTGTATGGGTTTGGGAGAATGTTTCTACAGAACTTCGTGCTCACCCCCTACCGTTAACATTTTTCAGATTACCCGCTTGAGGAGGAGGACGTAAGGGTCGAGGAGCCCGCTACTTGGGAGACTCCACGGGACGGGAGTGTGAATCCCGAGGTAGACGCATAGAGCGACCTCCTTTCCTTTTGTACTAGACTAGGACATTCTTTTGGAACATTGTGTAGTCTAGCTTCTTTTGTTTATTCCGCTGCGCTTCCTTAATTAATTTTTGAGATGTAATAGCCATGACTTAGGTTTATTCTTTTGGATAATGTTGTAAATATTCGTGGATGACAAATGAAGTTTTGTTTCTTAAGGGATTATATTAGTGCTCTCATGATATGAATGGTTTTAGAATGTAATGTCATCCAGGGTGTGTTTTGGGGCGTTACAAAGTCGGTATCAAAGCCTAGGCTTTAGGTCTTACATGGGAGCTGTAGGTTATGAAATCACCTCTAGAGCTTTAGGATTAGGGTGAATCAAATCCTTGAGTGAAATTTTATACACGTTCTATGCCTTAGCTTAACCTAATATTTAGGATGTCCTTTACATCCATGAACTAAGTTGTGAATTGATATGCAGGATGAACGGACAGGGACACAGACGTGGCCGTGGCCGTGGAGGTCAAGCGAATCCACCACCACCACCACCAACGAATGTCATGCAAGGCATTTACCAATGCTTGAGGGAGCTCACCACTTTGGTACAAAACCAAAATGGTAACAACAACCACAATGGTGGAGCTCATCCTCTCGCTCAAGTACCGGGCAATGGGAACGGAGACCGAAGGATGATAGCTCTTCGGGAATTCTTAAGACAACGACCACCCAATTTCCAAGGGAGCTCCAATCCTTTGGAGGCGGATAGATGGATCTGTCGAGTGAAGAAGATCTGTGATGGCATGGGAGTTGCGGAGGAGTTGAGAGTTGGTTTGGCGACCTACCTGTTTAAGGGGGAGGCCGACTATTGGTGGGATGTCCATAAAGAGGAGAAGGGACACCGACACACTCACTTGGGAAGAGTTTGATCAACTTTTCCAAGATAAGTACTTTCCTGAATCGGTCAGAGACCGAATGAAGGCGGATTTTCTTGCACTACGACAGGGTAGTATGACCATGGCTGAGTATGAGAGGCGGTTCGACGAGCTCTCCCGTTATGCTACGGGATTTATATCTAATGAGGCCGACAGGGCCAAGCGCTTCGAGCAGGGTCTGAGGCCGATCATCAGGGAGAAGTTGGTGGCTCTCAAGATCCGTGATTTTGGGGACTTGGTGGATAGAGCTGCACTAGTAGAGAGAGACATAGAGGATAGCCAGCGACGACAAGGCTTCTCGAGAAGAGGTCCGATCCGGACGGGTGCTAGCACTAGTGGGGCACAGAGACCGACACCATACCGTCGCCCAGACCAGACAGGTGGACAGCGACTTTTGACACCCTGAGGAGAGTGAGACACTCAAACTAGAGCCGGTATTACCTCACGATCCTGCTTTGCATGTGGAGGTGTGGGGCATATTAGGATTCATTGTCCAGTTTTTCCACCTCAGGGGCCTATCCGGACCGCCAGACAGGTACCAGCAGCCCAACCACCACCACCGAGGCCTGCACTGCAACGACGGATACAAGCTCAAGCCCCCGGCGGCGCCAACCAAGGGCAAGTATTTGCTTTGACTCAGCCGGAGGAGGACATTGCCAATGCCGTTGTGGAAGGTATCGTCCTTATTTACAATTCTTGGGCCCGAATATTATTTGACCCCGGTGCAACACACTCATTTGTACGCACGACATATGCACTTGATTTGGGATTAAGTTTCGCGAAGCTAAAGCATGTTATGAACATTAGCTTGCCCACGGGAGAACGGTTAGATACTAGCCGAGTTTGCAAGGGTTACGTGCTTCGCATTGGGGAGCACAAATTGATTGTGGATTTAATTGTTTTAGAGATAAAGGGGTATGATGTGATTTTTGGGATGAACTTGTTGTCTGCTTTCCGGGCGGTAATGGATTGTTTCCACAAGCGGATTATATTTCAGTTGCCGGGAGGAGTCGTTTTCAGTTTTGTGAATAACCGAGATTCTTCCCATCCATTTTCTACTATGGGTAGTAGATTTTTAAAAGAGAAATCGGGAAGTCATTTGAGTTTCTTAGCTAGCTTGATGGGAGATGATAGGGATAAAATCCATACGGATGTAGTGTTAATTGTATCGGAGTTTATGAATGTTTTTCCCGAGGAATTACACGGATTACCGCCACATAGGAAAATTTAGTTCAAGATCGATCTCTATCTGGGAACCGAACCCATATCCATTGCTCCCTACTGGATGGCACCTTTGGAGTTGAAGGAGCTAAGGAAGCAGTTGGATCACTTGTTGGCGATTGGGTTTATCCGTCTAAGCACTTCACCATGGAGAGCCCCGGTCCTCTTTGTGAAAAAAATGAATGAGACTCTACGCTTGTGCACGGATTACCGGAGGTTGAATCGGGTTACCGTGAAGAATAAGTATCCATTGCCGAGAATTGATGACTTATTTGACCAGTTGAAGGGTTCGAAGTATTACTCCAAGATTGATCTTCGCACGGGTTATCATCAGCTACGGATTAAGGAGGATGATATTCCTAAGACTACTTTTCGTACTTGGTATGGTCATTTTGAGTATACGGTGATGCCGTTCGGATTGACTAATGCCCCTACAGCCTTCATGGAT